TTACCACTGTGTGATTAACCAAGGTCATTCAAGAATGATAAGCAGACCAGGCATAGTGGCTCATGTCTATAATCCCAGTGTTTGGGAGGCTGAAGCACAAGGATCACTTGATGCCAGGAGTTTGAGACCAACCTGGGGAACATAGTGAGACCACATCTCTAAAAAAGGAAAATGATAAGTGGAATTTGGCAGAAACAGTGCAAGGTATTTGGAGAGGACCTGCAGGTTGTGTATCACAAAAGTTAGGTACTTCTTGATTTGTAGCAGGCCTTGAAAGCTTTAGGTTTTGTTTTATAGGCAGTAAGAACTCATTGAGGTGAATGAAAATATAAGAAAATGAATGGCTTGCAATAATGAACTTGGAGACAGAAATGGGCAGTCAAGATAGAATCACTTAAGGACAGAACACAATAATGTGGACAAACCAAAATATAAGTCTGAACAAAAGAATGCCAGTAGAAAGAAAATGGAGCTATCAGATGAATGAGAAATTCCAGAAAAAAATTCAGAGATTGTGAAGACGATTAAATATATGTCCATGGGGGGATGTAGGGACACAAAAGGGATTTGAGTCTGGACTAACAGAAGAATAAAAAAATAACTAACATAACACATACATGGGGATGGGAAGACAAGAAGACATATATGCTGAAATCACCTTTACACACATTATTTAGAGCCATCCAAATGACACTGGAAAAGTAACTTAGCTACAACAGTGTGATTATGTTATAGTAGAGTAGGAGAAGCCTGAGCCTTTTTCATTCTAGAAGAAGCAGTATAAAATGAACGTGTTAAACGAAATGAAGCCAGGTAATAAATCAGCTAGAGAATGATATCAAAGATAACTATTTTTATTACTGAAGTATTCTTTCTGTCACCAATTAAAAACTTCTTCATGACTTCCTCTCACAGCCCTGACCTTCTCTCAGGCTTGAGCTCTTGATTATGATCTCAACTGTGAAGTTGGAGTGAAGAATGAGTTGGTCGTTGTCTTCACAGAACTGAAAGTAAAACTTTCGGAAGGGGATGACATCAGGAAATGCAGAGGGAATAGGGAAGAAAGTGAAAAGAGCCTTAGAGGAATGCCTAGATTTAGATTTGTAAAAGAAGCTAGAAAAACAGAGAAAGCAGGGGGAGAGACATTGGAAGAGAATCTAGAGAGAAAGTGTCAGGAAAGTTGACTTTTCTGGAAGGAGGGAAGGAGAAGTGGTCAAGAAATCCCATATGCTTTTGTGAGATTCATGCAGATAGTTCTGACAGGAAGCAACCAGAGAACTATTATAAGAGGTTTGGCTCAAATGCAAGATTTTCAGATGCTGAAGGGAAATGTAGGGACTGTCCTGATTAAGGCTGAGTAGGACAAGGTAAATACTAGGTGACGAGTGAGGCAATGGGTAGATAGTGAAAGAGAAGGAAGAAAGAAAGGAAGGAAGGAAGGAAGGAGCGAGCAAACAGTGGGGAGACAGGGCCAAAATTTGGGTGAAACTTGTAATTGTGCATAACAGTTGATTGAAGAGGTTATGTGAAAAACTTTTTAGGAATAAAGAAGAATTTGGTTAAAATAATGTATAGAGGGCCTGGCGCAGTGGCTCATGCCTGTAATCCCAGCACTTTGGGAGGCTGATGTGGGTGGATCACCTGAAGTCAGGAGTTCAAGACCAGCCTGACCAACATGATAAAACCCCCATCTCTGCTAAAAATACAAAAATTAGCTGGACGTGGTGGCAGGTGCCTGTAATTCCAGCTACTCGGGAGGCTGAAGCAGAATTGCCTGAACCCAGGAGGCGGAGGTTGCAGTGAGCTAAGGGCACATCATTGCACTCCAGCCTGGGTGACAAGAGTAAAACTCCATCTCAAAATAATAATAATAATAATAATAATAATAATAATAATAATGTGTAGAACTAACTAACCCCAAAGTTGCAGTTGTAATGTCAATATGTCTGACAACTTGAAATCTTGGTCATCAAAGTTTATTGGTTCTGCTGAAAACCTTGCCATTAAGCTGATGTTATCAGGTCACAGATTTTGAGGCAACAGCCTGATATAGGCTGTATTGTATCCTCCCAAATGTATATGTTGCAGTTCTTACCCCAATATGATTATCTTTTAAGATGGGGCCATTGGAAGGTAATTAGCTGCAGATGAGCTCATAAAGGTGGAGTTGTCAAAGTGGATTAGTGCCCTTCCAGGAGAAGACACCAGGGAACTTGCTCTTCTTCTTCCCTGAGAGGACACAGCAAAAAGCTAAACATCTGCAGGCCAAGAAGTGGTTGTTCACCAGAACCTGACTATGCTGTCACCCTGATTCTGAACTTTCAGCATTCAGAACTTTGAGAAATTTTCTGTTGTTCAAACCAGTAGATCTATGATGTTTGGTTATGGCAGGCCAAACTGACTAAGACTCAGTCATTGATAATTTTTTCCCCTAATTTGCAGTATTTATAGTTGTACCATCTTAATATAATCTAATTCGAGATTATGAAACTCGTGAAACAAGTAAAACAGAATTCTACTCTTATTAAGGTTTGAACAGAAATATAGTAATAAGTGATTAAAATAGAATTTAGGTTTATGAGTTAATAAAAAATATGTAGTAATAAAATATCATAAAACAGAGGAAAAAAGGAATGAAGAAGAAAAGAAATGGAGTCCTTTGGAAACTTAAAATGTCCTGCAAATGTTATCCAGTAGAATAGATTAGGAACAATACCAATTGAAATGGATTGACCTCTCACTATGTTCTAGGCACATTCACCTTCCCAAGCTTTCTCATTCATCCTCAAATGACCTTCTGAGGAAGGTGAAATAGCATTGCTACCCTCCTCCTGTAAGGTAAAAATAAAGCCAGGAAGGTAACGTGAAACTTTCCCAATATTACAATGAAATAGCAATTACAATGCAAGCCTACGAAAGAGCTAGGACCATGCTTTAAAGCAGCCATATGCTCTATAAGATTTACCTCAGTAAAAACTATTTTGTCCTAATTTTTTTTTACTTTTATATAAAGCTACAGCCACATAGAATACTTTTTATTAGCATTTACTTACTACTTCTCAATCTTAAAATGTAGGCAAACACATACGAAATGTCTAGGACAAGGTTTAAATATTAAACTTTTAAGAATATGTTCCTGAAATGTTCACCATTTAGCTAAATTCTTGTTACATTTCTATTTTCACACAAACTCACACTGAAGATCTAGTATCTTGATGAGCCCAAATTGAAAGGAAGAATGTTTATTCCTCAAAGTGTCTCTCTTATTTCCTAATTACAATTAAAAAATTGTAAATTTAGTTGTAACTTTCAAACTTGGATTTTAAAATAGAAAAGGGAACTAGAACACTCTTCCGAGTGTTAAGTCTGACAGTTTAGGTGTGTGGTCCTTAGTGAAGTAAGTAAACAAACTCTGACTTTATCAAGCCCAGGTTGTTTTACACTTAACTGATTGTATTAATGAGATTCTTGTTCAGCCCCTCCAGTGTGTTGGCTAGAACACTGATTGAGCTAGACGGCCTGTGTTTTGTTTAGATCAGCACATTGTGTGGCTATTGGATAGTAACACACTTCCTTGGGTTTCTGAGTGGTGAAAGCAAGTAAAATTTTACTAGGTAGCCTTAGAGGGAACCCGTTGTTTTTACACTACTTTCAGGAGGTGAAGGCAACAGGAAGTGACTTGATCCCGCTGGAGACATTGCCCAGGGGTCCGTTAACAGGAGAGTATATTCAGGGCAGAGCCGGCCAATTCTGCTAGAGGCCAGCTGACATTCATGTGGTTTATCTAGATCATCCCTATGAATGTCACTGAGGAAACAGTGTTTCTCTTCTTAAAATATCTCCTACAAAACTAAAAGGAAATTGCACCAAGTATGGAGTGAGGTACACAGCTGCCAAAGACAGGAAATCTGAATTAAAGCTGCCTTCCCCAACCATTAGATTCCTTTAAAAATAATTCAGATTCTATGATCATCTAAATGAATACAGTCAGATTCTGAATTCCATTGTTTTCTATGTGGTCTAATCTAATGTGCCTCAGATTTTCCATTGGGTGGTTGGTGTGATGATGCAAGTGGAAGGAACAGGTTGGTGATTTGAAGTAAAAAAAAGACTTAGAACAACTTCCAATTGCTTACAATTTACAGTTGGCCAGGCCGTAAACACAGCTTCTAGACTTGCCAGCCTTCTCAAATTGGCCGTTTTTATCTCCCTTTCTGCACTCAAAGCCATACCCAAAAGTACCCTGACACAAAACCACTGAAGGGTGTGGTCTCTGCTTGTCCTGGGCAATGAACAGGGAAGCTATTTATGTCTAGGGCATCTCTGTTCAGTGACTCATGTTTCGACTGGAAAATTGGCCACAGCTTTCTAGCGGCTCTTTCCTGCCAGCTCTTCTGGCATTCTACCCAATGCTTCCACTGCCCCACCCCCTCTCTCCTTGCCCAGTCTGCTTTTATATTCCTGAAGCCCCCACTTAATAATAGTCATTGTTCCACGTTAACCTTGAGGATCTGGGAGAAAGGACAATGAAGGGCATAGCTGTATGCTATAATGAGCATTTGGCGCTATAGCAGGTGGAAAAGGCTTTGGGGATCTGGGCAGATTAGGAGGAGAGGGGGCTCTAGCAGATGTTGAAGCAAGATGATGTATTGCTGCTCACTCTGGGATTCATACAATACCAGCGCAAAAGTAGAACAGGGAAAAGGGGAAAAATTGATCCCTTCTGATACAAACTGCACTAGAAACCAGACACACTTGAAAGTGGGCATTTAAGAGACAAATTTGTTTCCAGGCCGTGGGTTTTCTTCTGCCTTTTCTCTCTCTCAATCTCTCTCTCTCTCTCTTTCCACCTTTCGCGACCCCCCCCACCTCCTCTTTTCTCTCATTCTGATGGCAGATCAATTGACAAATTGTCCTTTTAATTTGAATGTTAACTACATACAGGGCTTGACATATTTCCTATCAGTTTAAGGTTCTTATTAATATGACTTCTTTTGCAGCAAAAAAAGCAATGGATGCATCAAGAATTTCATTTTAGCCTCTTCTGAGAACCAAGAAGCCATATAAAGCAAAGGTAAATGACATTTAAATGATGATTAGTTCACCATTTGAAGAAATATATATATTTAAAGTTGTCCTTTTGCATTGAGCTAGGCAACTAAATAATAACAAAAATGTTGACATTAACAAGTGTTCCATTCACTTTACAAAAATTAATAAAAATGAACCTTAATCTTAATAGGTTTGTGATATTTTCAGTTCTGATTTTTAACATTTATTTCAATATGTTTTGTAAAATTCTAAAAATATAGATAAATTACCTACTTTATGATATGGTTTGCACAATTATTCACACATATGCATTCACACAGATGTATATAATACATTCTGGCTGTGGAAGGAAAGGCAAAATCCAAGTATTCATTGAATATAGAAAAACATCACAATTGTTGAATATTGATAACACTGAAAACAATTATGGACAAACACGTTTCAGAGAATGATAAATATAAAGGGTTGGATTGTCAAAAATTAGTCCTAGGAGTTTTAGCTTCTTCCCTTTTCTTCAGCATTCAATGCATTTATTCTACTGAATCAATTTGAATAAAAGTGGGAATAAAATCTATTCATATTTTTTTCCATAAGAAAGACATTAGAAGCTAGAGATTATAACCTGTAACTTTTATCTACTTGGCTACATTGTCTATTACTCGATTTGCTTATATGATAGGAAAAAGTGGTAGCACAAATAGAGAAATAATGATGAGAAGAATTTTCCTCTTTCTAGTAACAGTTAATTGACTAGAAAGTCTGTTTGTGCTCATTGTAAATTATTTAGGTTTTATTTAAACAGGAGCTGTTAAGTTGAGTACTATTATTTACATTGTCATAAATCTGAATTAAATCAAGTTTCATAGATTTTGTGTCTGCATTGCCATATCTACAAAGCAGTAAAAGGCACTAGCCAGATAGGTAGTTATCAAGAATGATAAATAAAACTTTTTATCCTAAAGTTGTTATATCTCCCATTCTGAAGAATTGGGAGTGGGAAATAGAGAGATTATTCAACACTATCAATATCTGATACAGTAATTTGACTTACTTAATCATTGTGTCTCATTTTCCATTATTAATTTAAATAATTTTGGAACTTATGCATTTAAGAATCAGACTTGTGTGTAGTAAGTATGCATTAAAATAGTATTTTGTGGAGTATTTCAGAACTTGTACATTTTACCATTTGCTCTTAGGCAGGTAGAATTAAGTAGTTCACTGAGGCTTGAGTAATAGAAGGTAAAGCTACTAGTTTTAAGATGTCTGACATGTGCACTGTAAAAAAAGAAAATCACCCAAATTTCACTACAATAAAACAAGAACATTTTATTACGCTCAAACAATCCATGAGTCAGGCGAAGGCAGAGTGGGTATGGCTTATTCTATTCTCAGTTGTGTCTGGAGCATTAATTGAGGAAACTCAAATGGTGGAGATTGCCAGTGTTGCTGGGGTGTGGAATGACCTGGAGGCTGGTTCACTCACATAAATGTTGCCTGGTTGGAATAACTCAAAACCTGAGATCAGCTTTGACTATCAACAGAGTGTAACTTGTGACCTCTTCATGTAGTTTGAGCCTTTCAAAAAGTGAAGCATGGGTACCTACAATGAACTGATCTTCAAATAGTCAACAATAATATGCAGTGGGGAAAGGACACTCTATTCAGTAAATGGTACTGAAAAAATTAAATAGCCATATGTAGAAAAATGAAACTGGGCCCTTTTGTTCTACCATATATAAATATTAAGATGATATATATCTACCATATATAAATCTCAAGATGAATAAAGAAATATATGTAAGACCTGAAATTATAAAACTCTTACTAGAAAACCTAGAAAATGCTCTTCCAGACTGTTGCATAAAAACAAGGATTTTTATGACCAAGACCTCAAAAGCAAATGCAACAGAAAGAAAAATAGACAAATGGGACTTAATTAAAGAGCTTCTGCACAGAAAAAAAATTAACACAGTAAACAGACAATTTACAAAATGGGAGAAAATATTTGCAAACTATGTGTCTGACACAGGACTGATATCCAGAAGCGACAAGAAACTCAAAACAACTCAAGAAGAAAAAAAAAAATGCCCCATTAAAAAGCAAAAGAATGGACAAACACTTCTCAAAAGAAGAAATGCAGGTGGCCAACAAACATGAAAAAATTCCCAACATCACTAATTATCAGAGAAATGAAAATCAAAACCACATCTCACACCAGTCAGAATGGTTATTATTAAAAAGTTAAAAAGCCACATATGTTGGTGAGGATGTGGAGAAAATGGAACGCTTATACACTGTGGGTAGGTATGTAAATTAGTGCAACCCTTATGGAAAACAGTATGGAGATTTCTCAAATAACTAAAAATGGAACTACTATTCCACCCCACAATTCCATTACTGTGTATCTACCCACAGGAAATCATTATCTCAAAAAGACACCTGCACTTGTATGTTTATGACAGCAGTATCCACAATAGAAAAGTCACGGAATCATCTAAGTGTTCATCAACAAATGATTGGATGAAGAAAACGTAGTATATAAACATCATGTTTATAAACTCTGCAGCCATAAAATGAATAAAATCATGTCTTTTATAACAACATGGTTGAAACTGAAGGCCATTGTCTAGTGAAATAACTCAGAAACAGAAAGTCAAATATCACATGTTCTCACCTACAAGTGGGAGCTACACAATGGACACACATGGACATAGAGGGTGGAATAACAAACACTGGGTATTTCAAAAGGAGGGCATGTTGGAGGGAGGTAAGGGTTGAAAAATTACTTACTGGATATAATGTTTACTATTTGGGTGATGAATAGACTAGAAGCCCAAAACCTCACTATCATGCAAAATATCCATGTAACAAACCTGCACCTATATCTCCTAAATTAAAATTAAAAATGATGTATGAGATCTAAAAGAAAGTAGCTGGAAAGGAAATATCCAAAGGGCAAGCTGTCCATGAGACCAAGGAAGAAGCTACAAGGTTCCTTCTGACCTAGCCTCAGTAGTCATAGGGCATCCTTCCAGCCTCGTTTTATTGATTTCAGGAGACCCATTAAGGCCAGCACAGATTCCAGAGGGAGACTTTACAACTTGATCAGGGAGTCGCAAAGTCACATTGCAGAGGAGTACCATATGGTACAGGAGTTTCAACTGTCTTTGGAAAGTGCAATGTTCAAGTTATCTTTCTTACCACATATATTTATCATGTTTTTAATTAAAAATTTAAACCATAATTTATGTAAAAAATTTGAGGATAAAAATATGTGCATGTAAATATAATAAACAAGTCTAAATATCGATATATTTCTAAGTACTGGTGGTTGGCTGTGGTAGTAAAAGTGTATTTTCTGAAATCTGATAAAACAGTTTGAATCCTAGTTTTGACATGCATTAGACGTATGCATGGATAACTTTCTAAAATCACTGAAGCCTGATTTTTTGTTTATGAAATGGAGATTAAAATAATACACACTTCACACAATTATTAAGATTGAGTGATGTATTGCATTTAAACCATACAACTATCTGGCTGTCCAAAAATGTTTGTTGTCTCTACAGGTGTAGGCTTTGTGATGATGAAAATAGGAATGCAGACATTTCTACAGATAAAGCAATAAAAGTATTGAATTGGTATAATTTGTGACATATGTTCATAAGTAATAAAATGCTTTAATACTTAATATGAAAATTTCGATGTCAATTTTTCTGAGATTTATTGAAGCCTCTAGTAGTATGATGAATTTTCAAATCATGTAGTTTCTTGTATACAGACTACATTATTGTCACACCCAGAGCTATTATGTCAATATTCATTTGTTTAATGGCTATTGTTTAAGTCAGGCCTAAGTGATACACTGTGAATCTGGAAACCATCATTCTCAGCAAACTGACACAAGAACAGAAAATCAAACACTGTATGTTCTCACTCATAGGTGGGTGTTGAACAATGAGAACACATGGACACAGGAAGGGGAGCATCACACACTGGGGTCTGTTGGGGGTGGCTAAGGGAGGGACAGCGAGGGGTCGGGAGGTTGGAGAAGGATGGAGGGATAACATGGGGAGAAATGCCAGACATAGGTACGGGGGATGGATGCAGCAAATCACATTGCCATGTATGTACCTATGCAATAATCCTGCATGATCTGCACATGTACCCCAGAACATAAAATACAATAAAACAAAAACAAAAACAGAGTTTATAAATTGTGAGAAGAATTAATTCTTCTGTATGGGAATGGGTATTAATTCTGTTATATGGGAATGATTAGGAGGGATTAAGATGATGGGGCTAAAAGACGTAAGAAAAATTCACTCATCACTAGATATTTAATTGAGTGACTATTATAATGCAGACTCTGTGGTAGATAATAGAATATAAAGATGATCGATCAAAGCATAATCCCTACTTTAAAGGAGTTCTTCTATGAGGAAAACTGACATATTAAAAGACAATTCTAAAACAAAATTTTAGTCAATAGTAACTTAATTGTAAATTTTAAAATAAAGCGTGTAATTGGATTGTTTGTAAATCAAATGATAAATGCCTGAGAGGATGGATTCCTCATTCTCTATGATGTGTTTCTGTCACATTGCATGCCTGTATCAAAACATCTAATGTAGTCCATAAATATATACACCTGCTATGTATCCACAAGAATTACAAAGAAAGAAATAAAAGCAGTAGTATGCCCAAGTCGGCTTGTTTGGTGAAGACTTCCTGAAAGAAGTGATGCAAAAGTTTGATATCCAAGGCAATTATGAAGAAACTTGATGAAATCAAGTAGGAGAGAGGAGTCGGGGGAAAAGGTTATAAAACTTTCTTTGAAGGTTTCCTCTTAAACTGAGCTACTTGTCTGCATAAACATGATAGAGTATGTGGTAGACACTTTGCCCAGATCATGAGGTTTTACCCAGGCCATCTTCCAAAAGTACTGTTGTCCAGTTGCTGGGTATGCTATGGACAGGTAACCTTTAGCTGTCAGCCCCTTCCAGAAATTGCCTCAGCTAAGCAGAGTCACCTCACCCAAGGCCACGTTTTTGTAGGGAAAGCCAACATCCATGACTGACAAGGGTGTGAGTATAAAGACTTGGCAATTTTTGCCCACCTGAGGGAACACTGAAGGGCCATTTCCACTCCAGAGCTCCCAGTAAGAATGCCTTGGGTCTGTGATGCAGTTCAACTTCTCTCTGCCTCTTTCTTTCCCCTTCACAGTTATTGACCTCAAGAGTTCTCCTTAATAAATATCCTCCACCTCTGCCTTTGATTCTGCTTCCTGGGAAACCCAACCTATGACAGTATGTTAAATAAATTTCAAGAAATTTAATTGTAAATTTTTCTTTGTCTACTGGATTCCTATAATATGAGCATTTCCCTCACTTTGTGTTTTTAATAGACAACTCAAATATTAGTCACATCAGTCTGCATTGTAAAAATAATTACTCAAATTTGGTTGAAAAATATTACTTAGAAAGCACAGCAGTAAGCTGAGTTTTAGTCATGAATCTCTCATCTATTTATCATTTGATCATATTTTTGGATAACTGCTTGCCAAGGCTAAAAATTTTAATCAGAGCCATTTTTGAGTAGGAAAAGCAGAAAGGATGCCTTTGAAAGCAATAATTCCTTTTTTGTTTCCTTTTACTCTTATACAATTTAAAAATAGTCAACTGGATTTTTAAATTTTAAATTGATAAATAAAATTGCATTTGATCCTTGCCAAGTTGACTCATATATTTTATGGATGAAATTAGATTAATTAAGATACTACAAATTCCATGAAGTTATTTATTTCACTCTTCAGTTGAATAGCAAATATTAACTTTGGCTACACAATGAACATGAGAGAGAATTATCTTGAGAGGTTTTACAATATTTATTATGATAATTTGTTATGTTGCATTTACATAATATTTTAAAATACCGTGTAGTCTTAGAACCCAGTCCTTCCATGCATACTCACAATTAGGGCTTGTTTCTTGATGTCTGTATGCAATCATTTTTCCCTTACACTCTGATAAAAATATAGTGGAAGTAGCACAGCTCTTCTGCTTTGCTATGTTTCTTTTGGTTGCTATTGATGTGGCCCTCATTTTTCCTCCTTTCTTTGCATTGGTCCTCTCTAACATAATCACAGAGTACATGAGAAAGACAATAACAACAATAATTATAGCCAATATTTGCTGAATTCATACTATTTGCTTGTCATGACTCTAATTCCTTCACATGTATCAATTTATTTAAGTCTCATAATAAAACTTTGGAGTTGTTATTTTCCCCATTTTAAAGATAATAGATAACCCTTATCTAGAATGAGGGAGAACTGCCATAAAACATTGTACATTATGATTACTTCTATTTTGGGCATTAGGTATAACTTCTAGCTGCTAATCAAATGAGAAACATAGCTTATGCATCTGTTAGGAGAGGTAGAAAAAAACCCAGAAAGTTAATATAAATGTTTCAAATGCTTCTGAATATGACATAAGGAATTTATAAAGGAAAAAACTGAATCACAAAGTGACAGGTGTTTTCCTGAGATCTCCTTAATAT